GATGATGTCCAGTTTTGTGGGCCAGATTGAGAGATTTAATTCTAAGGATGCTGGGAGACACCATTGGAAGGTTTGGGAAACGACAGGCAAGGGTAAAAAAGTAGATGTCAACCAAGAGGTGTTGTGGTTTGGATCTAGAATGTCCTCCAGAAAGCTCACCTTAAAGCAATGCAGCAATGTTCTCAGGTCAAATGATTAGATATTGAGGGCTCTGACCTCATCAATGGATTACTCTATTTGATGGATTAATAATTTGAATGGACTAATGGAATAGTGCTAATTATAGGCAGGTGGGATGTGGCTGTAGAAAATAGCAAAACCGAAGTTTTGAGGTGCAACTCAATTATCCACTTCTACCAGCAGGTGAGATGGGAATTTCTCCACTTCTGCTGGCCAGTTGGGTCTGCGTAAGATTGCAGGGCTCTGCAGCCAGAAGTGTTGCAGCTCATATTGGCAGGTCATGCCCCCCAGTGTTACAGCAGACCCAGCAGCTCACCATCAATTTCTTCTTCTTTCTGTGTTCTTGTCTCCTGAATTTGAAGAATGAAACCCACCGACCAGGATGAGTGAGTGTCAAAGTAGAATTTATTGAGGAATGGAAACAGGGGAAAGACTTCTTGCAGTGCAAGAGGGGACCCAATAGCAGGTTTTCGCCCACCAAGTGGGCTACTCTAAGGGTTCACATAGCACTTGGGTCACTGCTATTGATCCAAACTTATGCTAATTAGGGTTTGGAAAAGTAATAACGCTATTGGTTAGCCCTGAATCCCATTCAGTTTTGCCTTAGTTCCATTTTCTCCCAAGTGGGAGGTTGAATTACACAGGATCAGAGGGGGTGTCTGAAGCTGCAGTCTGTGTGGAGTGTGCTTCTGCAGCAGGAGGCATCCACACTGTGTGCAGACCAAGCTGAGGTTGGGTGACAGATTGGCTTGCCCCAGCTCACCTCAGGACTCAGGCCCACACTGGCATGGTGGGATTTCCAACTTGCTGTGGCTGCCATTCTGCCTCTTCACAGCTCCCTCACAAACACACTTCCCAGCAGGAACCAGTGAGCTGGCTGCACTGCTGGGCAGCCAGAGAGCCATGTCAGTAGATCACTGGGGACATGGCCTGAGAGATTATAGATGATTCTGGTTCCTTCCCCACCACCCTTCTCTGCTTCCTGGCTGCCATGGGTTGAACATCTTTCCTCCACCATGCCCTTCCACCATGATGTTTCTGCAGGGAAGCCAGCCAACCATGGACTGAGACCTCCAAAATCATGAGCCAAAATGAATCTGTTCTTGTTTAGGTTTTTCTTGACAGTTATTTTGGTCACAGTGATGAAGATATGGCATGGGCTAGAGGTTGTGGTGGATAAGATATATAGAAAAGATAAAGAGAAGCAAGACTCAAGCCCAGGGCTAGGGTTCAAGAGTGGAACTGCCCAGCAAGGCAGCACTGTCCCCTGCCTCACCTCCAATGCTCTCCCTCTCATCTTTTATCTTCCAGCTATACAGAAAGCTAGATGAGAAATTAGCGTGGAGTCAGACTGTTGGATCCAACACCAGCTCCAACACTCACTAGGTGGAATGGTTTGGATCTGAAATTCCTCCAATAGCTCATATGTTGAAGGTAGGTGGCCCAGCTCAGATATGCTCAGAGGTGGGACTTTGGAGAAATGGTTGGATCATAGCTGAATGGGCTACTAGGAGGTGGAGCCCACCTGGACAAAGTAGGTTACTGGGTGTGACTTTGAAGGGTATACTTTAACTCTGGACCCTCCTCCCCCTGGTTCCCTCTCTCTGCTTCCTGGCTGCCACGAGATGAGCAATCTCCTCTACTCTTTGCTCTTGCTGCCATTATGTTCTGACACCTCAGAGCCAAAGCAATGGAACCAGCCAAACCTGGACTGAAACCTGAGCCAAAATCCTCCTCCTCCAAGTTAATTTTCTCAGGTATTTGTCAAAGTCCCATAAAGCTAACACACTAGATATATAACTTAGAATTTTAATTTAATACTTTTAATTTTCTGTGCTCATCTTCTCCCATCTTTAAAATCAGGATACTAATATCTATATCTTAGATTGTTGTGAGAATTAAATGCAATGCCTAGAAAAGTACCCAGTACTTACGTGATAGCATCATTAACTGCTACCTGGTAGTATCATAACTCGGCATTTTCAACATCCTATCATCTCAGTTCTAATCCTTGACGCCAGCTCTTTCCTATGCCTGAAAAAATACTATGCTAAATTAATTCCAAGCACATCTCCCAATTCTCAGCCCCAATATCACTCCTCCAGCAGCCTTTTCTAATGCCCAGAGATGACATCTTGTCTCCTCCACACCACTCAATACTTTCCCTCCAGTAATGACCCTCATCTTCTACAATAGTCACGTATTTGATTTTCCCTCTAGATTAAAAACTCTATGAAGGGAGGAATTGTGCTTAATTTCACTAATATTAGTGAAATTCCCCAAGGTAGAGAAGGTAGTGACCAAGCCCAGAGCCACATTATAAGTTTACAGGCCCAATTTTGCCTTTGTAGACAATTTTCCTCCACTGAAAATGTTTTAAATTATATTTTATTACCATCTTGGTATAATGATGAATATAATCCCAACCAAATACGTTATTGTATATTTGGGGGGGGGGGGTGGACCTGTTTTCGGATGGTGTTTTGTTCTTGCTGTGTTGTCCAGGCTGCTCTTAAACTCCTGGGCTCAAATGATAATCCCACCTCAGTCCTCCAAGGGGTTGGGATTACAGTTCTGTACCACTATAACTGACTTATTATACTTATTATATTTTTTACATTTTGATTATTAAAAGAAATTAAAATTAAAACATTTTTGAGAAAACGAGGCACTGAACCTACTGTGACTAATAGATAAGTTGACCTATAAGCATCAGTAATAAAAGAGTTAAAATTAGGGCTGGGGGTAAGCTCAATGGTACAGTGCTCAGCAGGATTCAATCCTAATACTGCAAAAAAAAAGAAGAGTGGGTGGGGGGCAAGGAGAGTTCAAAGCAATGAGGAACACGAGAATGGGGAAGGGGCTACAATCTGAAATTAGACTGATTTTTGGGATAGGGCAGCAATGTAGCTACGAAACAGCTCTATTGCAAAAATAAATAAATAAATAAAGCTCTGACTCCAACTCATTAAACCAATAGCTGGAAAGTCCAGAGTGCAGGGCAGGATCCAGGCTTGCTTGATTCAATAACTTGACGGTATCTGCAATTCAGGTTCTTGTTCTTCTGCACTGACCTCTGTCCAGAGCATCTGCTTCATGCCGAGGCTAACCCCCTTTGTGGTCATCAAACAAGTGTCAGCAGAAACATTACAGCTTCCTTTCTGGTTTACATCCAGTGAGACAGCCCAGAAATTTTAGGCCTTTCCTTCTGATCAGTCAGCTTTAGTAATGTGTCTAACCTAAACAATGATGGTCCCTTGGAAATACCCCACACTAGCTGTCCTAGCAAACCAAAATCCACCCTAGAGTAGGAATGTGGTATACACCAGAACAAAACCAGGGAACAGGAAATGTCTAATAATTCATTCTACAAATCCTGAACCCCCTCACCACATCATGTGTATAAAAAGGTAACAGCCCTAGGGCTCAGTGGTAGAGCGCTTGCCTAGCACATGTGAGGCACTGGGTTTGATCCTAAGCACCACATAAAAATAAATAAAGGTATTATGTCTATCTACAACTAAAACATTTAAAAAAAAAAAAAAAGGTAACAGGGCTGGTGTGATGGCACATGCCTGTAATCCCAGCATCTTGGGAGGCTAGGGTAGGAGGATAAGTCCAAAGCCAACCTCAAAAAGACTTTATCCTCAAAATTAAAAATACAAAAGGGCTGGGGACATAACTCGTGACAGAACACCCCTGGGTTCAATCCCCAGTATCACACACACACAAAAAAAAAAAAAAAAAAAAAAAAAATCAAAGGAACTTTTGATGCAAGGATGAATCATCTTAAAGGACACGATTTGTGGAGGATATTTTGGGGGGAAAGCAGTGTTCAATGAGCCCTAAACCCCCCACTCCTTCCCTTAAGGGGTGAAAAGGAAGTAGCCTCTGAGCTGAGAAACATTAACATCAATTATAGAAACGGGGGGCCGGGTAGAGTGGAGTGGAGCTGAGGCAGAGGGAACTGTGCAGGCAAAGGTCCTGAAGAGGGAAGAAGAATGGCACATTCTAGGGCAGAGAGTGAGGGAGGGTAGCAGGAGAAGGGATTGAAAGGGAAAAAGCAGACAAGACTGGAAAGCCCTCCAACACTTCCAACAGATGCAGATGCAGGAAGGTCACCAAGGAGATCGTGGCGTCATCCAGGGCAGCATGGCTGGGGATCTGCCCCAGAGTAGCAGCAGACAAATGGGGAGATGGAGTCAATGGATTCAAGAGGTTTCACTGTCTGTGGGGGGAGGAAAAAATTCAGCGACAAGTAATATTAACCATGCCTTTTTTTTTTCTGTATTTCTGATGCTTTGATATCAGGGGTCTTGCTATCCCTGAAGGAACTGTTCCTCCCAGGGCTAGCTAATCCTTAGAGACCGTAATAAACCACCTGTGAGAACACCTTTCCCATGGAAACCAGCTGATCCAGAGGACGTGCACTGGCAACCACCTCCTCTGTGAGGCTCTCACACACCTGTCGGGAGACCAGGTCCAAGACAGCCAGGAGCAGCCCCTATGCCCCAGAGCCTGCTGAAATTATTCAAACCAGCCAATCCTAAACCTACCAACCCTGCCTCACCTGTTCCTTTTCATAGAAAACAAAATAAAAGCTCTTGCCCACGTTCCTCCTCTCTGTCAACCTCCAGACAGCCTCAGTGCGTCCCTGCATGCACCTGGGAGCTCTGGGCAGGCCATCATGCCAACAGCTCTCAACTGTTTCTAGAGCTCCATAACAATAAAAAGTCTTCCTTCGAGACAGTCACTCCTGTATCCTCCTCTTCCCACACCTGATTAACAGATTCCAGGTCCTCTTAAAATAAGAACACCACTTTTGAAAAATAAAAATATATTCAATTTATTCTAATTGAGACGAGGGTGGTATGTGATGGTAAAATTCAAACAAAAGAGTTTTTCTTCAGTATGCCCAGCAATGGCTTCTGCAACACATCTGTATCGGCCCTAAAACAAGGGGGAAAAAAAATACAAGTTAAAATGTTAAACTTTGCTATTTTTAAATATCTTTTTAGTTGCAGTTGGACACATTATTTGCTGAGGATCGAACCCAGCATCTCGCATGTGCTAGGCAAGCGCTGTACCACTGAGCCACAACCCCAGCCCCAAATGCTGCTCTTTTTAAAGAATTTTTATTGTCAGTACTGCAGTTGAACCTGGACTGAGACTGGCCTCAAATTTGTGATCCTCCTACCTCAGCCTCTTGAGTAGCTGGAATTACAGGCATGTGCCACAGCACCTGGCTTAAAAAGAACTTCCTTAATGCCATGTAATTAAATTGTTTATATTTTCTTCTGGTGGTAGGAGCTGAACCCAAGCCTCATGCATGCTAGGCAAGTTTTCTACCACTGAGCTACACTCCCAACCCAGTTATCATTTTTTCAGTTTTCAAATGACATGGAATATTACATGCCTTTGAATTCAATAATTATAGATTCCATTTATTTCCCAATTAAAAGATGAGGAGTTGGGGGTGGTGGCATATGCCTATAATCCTAGCAACTCAGGAGGCTGAGGCAGGAGGATTGCAAGTTCAAGGCTAGCCTTGACAACTTAGGGATACCCTATATCAAAATTAAAAAAAAAAAAAATTAAATGAGCCTGGATATGTAGCTCAATGGTAAAATACCTCTGGGTTTGATCCCTAGTACCAAAAAAAAAAAGAAAAAGAAAAAACTGAGGACTTGGGGCTGGGGATGTGGCTCAAATGGTAGTGCGCTCGCCTGGCATGCGTGCAGCCCGGGTTCGATCCTCAGCACCACATACAAACAAAGATGTTGTGTCCGCCAAAAACTAAAAAAAATAAATATTAAAATTCTCTCTCTCTTTCTCTCTCTCTCTCTCTAAAAAATAAGTAAATAAAGGGATTCTAAGACAAAAATATTTTTTTAAAAAACTGAGGACTTATACAATTCTTAGAAAATAGCCTATAAGTTTCTCAGATATTATGCTTTTTGTAACAAAACATCTAAAGAATATGCTTTAATAAAGTTTATTTTTAAATAGTTTCCAGAAGTGAAATATATAAAATTTCATTGCCAGTTATATGATACAAATATCTAAAATTACATTGGTATTCATTGAGGCAGTAGTTATTTTTAGAAAGGTCTGGACATTCAAGGTAAGTTCCAAAGAAAATTTTTAAACAAAAATAAGCCTATAAGTTATGTGATTTCTATTCTCCTAAACAATTTATATAATTAGTATATTGCATGAGTAGTTATACACTATTACTGACTTATATACAGTGATTGAACAGTGCTTTCATATGAAGCCCATTCAACAGATTAATAAAATGAGCATTCTCATTACTTTTAGCCTTGTATGTTAGAGGAAAAAATGACAAAAAAGAGTTAATCACATGTGCAATTTTTCCATATTCTACAGAAGGAAGAAATACCTACAACTAAAATTTTTAAACATTTTAATCTTGAACCACTATTTTTAGAGGTTGTAAATTACTTCTTTCAAAATCTTAACACATCTGTTACTGCAAAAGGTTAAGAACATACAAAATACATTTTGAAGAATACCTTAAGAAATAGTATTCCCCTGAAGGAGAACGGTATTGTTGTATTCACAGTCTCTGCAAACATAATGCAAAATACATCATTATTAGGTGATCTTTCTTTTCTTTCTTTCTTTTTTTAATTGCATGGGACATCCCTTTATACACAACACTGGCTACTGGCAAAGGCAGTCTCAAGTAAAACTAGAGAATAATAGATCTTACACCCTGACTAGTACTCTCCTGTGGCTTCTTCTGCCCCACAGAGCCTCTCTCTTAGGGGATGCAAACTTTTAAGATGAACTGGTCTCAAAAATGAATGAATGAATGAATGAAAATATGCATTATCTCAGGTTATATATGTACATATTTAATTGTAGTTTTCAAAAATATTGTTGCACCTTTACCTGGATGTAATAGAGAAAACTTTTCCTAAGGATGGGAGAGATATTCCAAAGGCAGCCAGACAACTGAAGCTCCTCTTATCACAGCACTGAGAAGCTTGACTAAGGTCAATAGACACAAGGAGGGTTTGGGAGAGGGTAAATAGAAAGAAATTCAGTAAGAGGCACCAAAAACACAGAGTGAAGGAATCACTCCTGGTTCTTCTCTAGCACAGTAAGGTAACTGTTGGGCAAAACAACCTATGATATATTTCAAAATGACTGGTAAGTACATAATTCCCAATGCATAAAAATGATTCATGGTTGAAGAGATAGAAATGCTTATTACCCTGATTTGAGTAATAAACATTGTATACATGTATTGACTTATCATAACATACCCATAAAGATGTACAAATTTTAAAATAAAAAACAATTTTTAAAATAGAAGGCTAAGAACCCAATCAACAAATGGGCCAAGGACTTGAACAGAAACTTCTCAGAAGAGGATATACAATCAATCAACAAACACATGAAAAAATGCTCACCATCTCTAGCAATCAGAGAAATGCAAATTAAAACTACTCTAAGATACCATCTCACTCCAATAAGAATGGCAGCCATTATGAAGTCAAACAACAATAAGTGCTGGCGAGGATGTGGGGGAAAAGGTACACTCATATGTTGCTGGTGGGACTGCAAATTGGTGCAGCAAATTTGGAAAGCAGTATGGAGATTCCTTGGAAAGCTGGGAATGGAACCACCATTTGACCCAGCTATTCCCCTTCTCGGACTATACCCAAAAGACCTAAGAAGAGCATACTACAGGGACACAGCCACATCAATGTTTATAGCAGCACAATTCACAATAGCTAGAATGTGGAACCAACCTAGATGCCCTTCAATAGATGAATGGATTTAAAAATGTGGCATTTATACACAATGGAATATTACTCAGCACTAAAAGATTTAAAATCATGGCATTTGCAGGCAAATGGATGGCATTAGAGCAGATTATGCTAAGTGATGTTAGCCAATCCCTAAAAAACCAATGCTGAATGTCTTCTCTGATATAAGGAGGGTGACTCAAAATGGGATAGGGAGGAAGAGCATGAGAAGAAGACTACCACTAAATAGGGAAGAGAGGTGGGAGGGAAAAAGAGGGAGAAGGGGAGTTGCACGGAAGATGGAAGGAGAACTTCATTGTTATACAGAATACATATATGATGTTGTAATGAGAAAAAGAAAAAAAAGTGTGTCACATTAGATTGGATAGAGAGAAAGGATGGGAGAGGAGGGGAGGAGTAAGGAGGATAGGAAGGGCAACAGAATAGAATTTACAATATGATTGATGTATGTATTATATGTCAAAATGCATTCTACTATCATGTAAGACTAAAAAATAAATAAATAAAATTTTTTAAAAAAAATAGAAGGTTAAGAATTTAGTTTCTGATTAAATGCACAGTTCCTAGCCATGAACAAGCCATGAAGCACAGCCAGAACTGGAGGAAAAACCACACTCTGCCATTCTCGTCAGACAGAGGAAACTGTTGAAGGGGGTAGAGGCAGGGAATAAGAATGGAAAGAAAGAAATATTTTGAATGTTAAACAAAAGATATAGTTTTCAGTTTTGATTTGGTGGTGCAGGGGACTGAACCCAGAAGCACTTTACCACTGACCTACATTCCCAGCTCTTTTCATTTTTTATTTGAGACAGAGTCTCCCTGTGTTGCTAACCTGGGATCCTCCTGTCTTAGCTGCCCAAGTACTGAGATTACAGGTGTGTGCCACGCACCCAGCCAAAAATCTTCTTTAAGTAACAGTCAAATGTACAATTAAAATAGTTATTGTTCTCAGAATTGGCTACAGATAATACTTAAAGGCAGATAAATAGATTATGCCTGAATGCATACATCTGTTCTCATAAATATTTCTACTTCTGGGAGTATCTTTATTAAGAGTGTAACACAGTGAGATGCTTCTTAAGCTCAGCGAAGGCATTGTATCTTCTTAATCTTTTTTTAAATATTTTTTAGTTATGCATGGGCACAATATCTTTATTTTGTTTATTTATTTTTATGTGGTGCTGAGGATCAAACCCAGGGTTTCACACGTGCGATGCAGGCGCTCTACCACTGAGCCACAACCCCAGTCCTCTTCTTATATCTTTCATTCAAGGACAATTCAATTTAAAAATCTAATAGTCAATAAATATTTATTGAAAGTCTACTATATGCCAGGAACTAGGGAGATAACGGCTACTATAACAACATCCTTTCCCTCAAAGAGCTAAAGACAATTGGGGTATAGACAAATAAAGAAACTCTTCCAAGTACAATATGCAATGAAAAAAATACAGTAAAGATAAAGGTGGCAAAGCATTTTTGGAAAGAGATATGGTTCTGGAGCAAGGCTGTCTGGATTTGGTTGTCTTTTTTCATACATAGTAACTTTATTTGTAATAGCCAAAATCATAATTAACTCAACAATGCATTTATCCACTCATCAATAAGTGAGTGGATAAATGAATTTAGGTACATCCACACAATGCAATAGAAGGAAGCATATACAATAGCATCAATGAATCTCAGAGTTATTATGCTCAGGGGAAAAAGTCAGACAAAGAAGAACTCACGCTGTATGAATTTGTGTATATGAACTATAGAAAATGAAATCTACTGTACAGTAATTGAAAGTAGGGGGCTAGTGATGTAGCTCAGTAGTGAAGCACATGTCTATCATACACTAAACCCAGGGTTCAAGCTCCAGGACCATAAAAAACAAAAATCCAAATGGGGGCAGGGGGTTATTACACCAGAACATTACACCAGAACATTAATCTATCTAGACATCCCATGATCTCTAATTCCTGAAAAGTACATGCTCCCCTTTCTCTCTTTTTGCATATCAAATCTCTGCCCACCCTTCATATACAATTAAAATAGTTATATTTTATCATTGAGAGTCCTCTTCTGAATTCTCATGATATGCCAAATGTACTTGCTTTATTAGCTTGAGTATTGATCAGATATGTACGTCTGTGTGATTGTCACATACATAAGTAGTGCCTCTCTTTTCCTCCACCCTGCTCTATGAGGAGGACACGACTGACTGATTCATCTTCGCTTTCTCCATTGTGCCTTGTAGATGGTGTACCATAAATACTTATTCACATGTGAAAAGACAGAAATCATAGATGTGTCTTCTGAAATGAGTCATTATTGCATAGATTTCATTTCTCAGCTTCCAAGAAGAAAATAACACTAGAGCTATTTCTAGAAATGACTTCAGAAGTGAACTTTAAGACCTCATATCCAAAGAACAGAGCTCAAGGTCAGGATTTTGACCTGACATGACCACTCTGTGTAGGCTGGCTGAAAGGACTACCCCTGGAGTCTTCTCAGTGCCTATCAGGTTCCATCTGCTCCTTGTAGTTACACTTATCTATCCTTATTTGAGTTATTACTATGGATTTGGCTTCTATTAAGTTCATTTAAATTTTTTATAGACTCTTGCCTAGTTTTCTGCCTAATCAAGCTGTCGACCTTCCTAAGAGAGACCCATGTCTGTTCTCATAGCAAGTGGTGCCGGGGACACAGAAGTAATTGGATAAATATTGGTTGAACTGCACAAGATTGAAATGAGTTTGAAAAGTACTTTTAGAAATCTCAAGAAAAAAGTATATGTTCCTTATTGTTCTTCACTTCCAAAACCTTCAAAGTTTTGAAAATAGTATTTTGGTTCAAGGAACAGAATAAGGGAGTAGAAATTTTACTGCCAGGTATATCCACTGAAACTTTGCCATATAGACAAGGTTTGCTAAGGAAAACAAGAAGGGAAAATAGAATAAGCTGGATTTATTGTGTTTTGCATAATATCAGAAGAGAAAGGTATTGAATTGGGGCACAATCTGATTCAGTGAAAGAGCATAGGTTTGCACAAGAGTTAAATATCACAGTCTCTCTCTGCTTTCTGATCATCATGTGAGCTGCTTCCCTCTGCCACACTTCTGCCATGAGTTCTGCCTCACCTCAAGTCCTGAGAAATAGACTTCTATGGACTAAGACCTCTGAAACCATGAGCCCTCAAATAAACTGTTCCTCCTCTATAATTGTGCTGGTTGGGTCTTTTAGTCATAGTGGTAAATAGCTGACTAAAACCAAAATTTTTACCAGGAATGGGGCCATTGCTGTGATTAACCAGACCATGTGGTTCAGAAGCTTTTGGAGCATTTTGGAATAGGTGGGAGGGATTCTGAGATGCTTAGCAGCATAAGCTGGTTTAGGTTGTTTAATGTAGGTTGTTTTAAGAGGAGCTTAATGGCCGATTCTGGTGGGAGCTAAGACTAGAATGCCAATAGGACCATGCACAGTGAAAATAGGGCTCAAGATTGTTCAGAAAAGGAGGTATCTATTGGAATTTGGAAGCAGAGGCCATTCATGTTATGTGCTGAGAAGCTGTCTGCATTTTGCCCATGTCCTGAGACTTTCTGTGAGGCTGGTTTTAAAAGCAATGGACTTCTTAATCTGAAAGAAGAAATGTCTAGGCAGCTTAGCACTCAGGAAGTGGTATGGGTATTTCTGGCAACTTTAAGCCAAGTTTATTATGATACTTGGAAGCAGAAAGCAGAGCAGAAAGATTTGAAAACTTGGATTTGAAAGGCAGTAGTAAAACTGAACCTAAGGACTTTGC